CGCCAACGTCGTTATCAAACGACTGATAATGGCGGTGTTCAAATCGGTAGTCTTCGGCACCGTGACCATTGGTGACAATCTGTGGGCGCCTTTCCGTCGTTTCTGGGGTCAGACGTGTAATTCCACGATGCTCGAAGCAAAATTCCACCGATCGCCTTCATATTTGACGGGTATATACTGTCTACGATACAGATCAAGTGTACCAAATCTGAGATTTATGGGGGAAGATGCGATGGAGATATGCACGAAATACATTCTGGGCCGTCGCTTCTGGGGTCACACTAGTAAGTACTAGTACTAGCGGCTGCCGCCAGCGCGTGCATTCCACGTGATCGTATGTCTCGGGCCGAGAGTGGGACGCGCCTCAGTCGCGCGCATCTCGCACCTCGCACTTTGCTCTTTGGCACTTTGCTCTTTGGCACTTTGCTCTTAGTTCAGCCTTGCTCGTTGCACTTAGCCTCAGCCTCCGCCCCCGCCTCCGCCCCTTGGACGCCGTCCTCGACAGCGAGCTCGACAATCCCCTCACGATGCGGTCTCAGCACAAACTCAGCCTCGACGCCGACCTCCTCGCCCACAACGGTGACCGCGCTCGCTCCCGCTTCGCCCTCCGCCATGTCCTCTTCGCTTTCGTCGCCGGCTTCCTCTCCGCCGCTCTCTTCCCTCTCCTTCCATCCCTTCCTCTCGTCCAGATACTCGACCCCACTCAATCCCTCCATCCCCGTCCCGGCTCTACAGACGTCCATCACTATCCTCCCTCCCATCCCACAAATGCTTTCCCCGACCTCTTCCCTTCCGACGTCGGCTATCCAGGCCCCACTCCTACCGGTGCAGAGCCCGCCCTTGTTGCCACTGCTCCTGCTTATCCTCTACATACCGGCCCACCTCACCTCCTTCGTCCACAAGCCCTCTCCAACTCATCCTTCGACATCTTCTCTCACTGGGGCAACCTCTCCCCTTGGTTCTCTGTACCCCCTCAATCCTTCCGTATCGACGCCAGTCTCGATCCTCCCCAAGGCTGTCGCATTACCGCACTCCACCTTCTCCATCGTCACGGTGCCCGCTACCCAACCGGCACCGCTGCCTATGCAGGTCCTGCCAATTTCTCCGCTCGCCTCCGACACGCCCCCCACAAGTGGTCCGCACATCGCCAGCTCGCCTTCCTCAACGACTGGTGAGTCTCTTGCTACTTTACATCGTCGTCATCTTCCCGAACGTGCACTAGGACCTATAAGCTCGGAGAGGAGATCCTAACTCCCTTTGGCCGGCAACAACTCTGTCAGTTTTCCTCTCACCCTTACCATTCCGACCCGTCTTAATCCCAACTCAACTCCCAGTCGACCTTGGCGTTTCTACTCGCATCAAGTATGGCTTCCTCCTCCGCAACTTCACCGCCTCCAACACCCTCCCCGTCTTCCGCACCGAATCTCAGGACCGCATGCTCTTCTCCGCCCTCAACTTCGCCCTCGGCTTCTTCGGGCCCAAGCTAGATGGACAGTACCAACAGCTCATCACCATCGAAGCCCCAGGTTTCAACAACACTCTTGCTCCTTCCAAGACCTGCCCCAACGCCCGCGACCCCGCCCGCGGAGAGCGTGCTCTGCCTTACGTCCGCCAGTGGGCCAAAGTATACCTCCAAGCCGCACGCGCCCGTCTCAACTCGCAGATAGACGGCATCGACTTGACCATCGAAGACGTTTACGCCATGCAGCAGCTTTGCCCATACGAGGTATCCGTCCGTTTTCTTCCTACAGTACCTCTCTGATATCGACCGGCGTCGTAGACGGTTGCCATAGGCTATTCCAAATTCTGCGAGCTCTTCACCGAGGATGAATGGAGAGGCTTCGACTACTCGTACGTGCTACCGTTCTCTCGGCTCCTGTATGCAGCCTAAGGACTCTTGCTCAGCGTCGATCTCAACTTCTGGTACAACTCCGCGTTTGGCTCCCCGACTTCTCGCGCCCTAGGCATCGGCTACGTTCAAGAGCTCGTCGCCCGGCTCACCAGTACTCCCATCGCTGCCCACAACTCCTCGACCAATGCGACTATCAATGACGACCCCGCCACATTCCCGCTGGGACAAAGCCTCTACGTCGACGCTACTCACGATACCATCATCCTCAACGGTAAGCTAATTGCCTCGTCCTGTCACACGCCTTGACTCAACGCGAGCATGGCTAGTCCTCACCGCACTCAACCTTTCCAACTTTGCAACGGACGGGCCCCTGCCATCTGACCACATCCCAACCAACCGCTCTTTCAAGACCTCGCATCTCGCACCTTTTGCTTCCAACGTACAGTTCCAACGTACGCTGCTGCTTTACGCATACTCCACGTGGTTCTCGTTCTCACGTGCCGCTATTCCAGTTCTTGCTTGCGATTCGGCTCCAGAGCCCCAGATCCGCATCGTCATCAACGACGGTGTCACTCCGTTAAGTAGCGTTCGTGGTTGTCCTGCCGATGAGCCGCATGGCTTGTGTCCCCTCTCTGCATTCGTCTCTGCTCAGCGCGAGACGATCAGCAAGACGGATTGGACATGGGCTTGCCATGGGGAATGGAATGTTCCGACAGGCCATGGATGGAATACGACCACTGGCGAGCCTCCAGCGAAGGATTGATTCGGTCCGGCTATCCACTTGGTCGTGTGTAGCCCAGCAAGTCTCTTCGACGTGCCTCAAGACCTCATGCCTTGCCCACCATCCATATTTGGCGAGGCGATCAGTAGCTCACGTTGCTGTAGGAGACGTCCACGAGTTGGTTATTCTGCTAGACGCCTAGTCCTTGTCGGATCGTGATATCTATATGTTTGTGCTTGTGGATTGATATGCTTGCAACCTGCCCCTCGCAACGCCGAACCTGCCCCGAAATCAAAAGCAGATCGGATATCAACCATATTTTCCCTCCAACATGGAAAATGATAGACATAAGAGTGTGGAGCTAATGGCATATTACGCGTCAGGGACGCTATTGAGCACAGCTCTCAATAGCTGCTCAGCCAAGATATCATGAACCTCTTATGTCAGGTGCAATTCGTCTACCCAGATCCCACCACCCTCATCGGCCGGGTCGCCCTCACTGAACTCGTACTCGAGGGGGTCGTCGAGCACGTCTGTGAGCACTTGATGGGCAGAAAAGAGGAATACTGTGGCCTCCTTGCTAGACAACCCGAACTCCGTCGTCTGCGTCTGCAATGTTTCGTTCCAGGTCTCCACACGATCTTCTATCAGATCCGAGGACTCTGACTCCAAAGCTAAAAGTGAAGAATCAGTGACAGCGGGATCAGAGTGAGATGCCCGAACGACTACCTTGAGGTGAACGGTCGACGGGTGGTACGTCAAAGATGATGAAATTTCTGGCTCCAGCCCTGACATATAAATCGTGAAGGGCAGAGTCAAAGATGTCCTGAATGACGGGTTCAAGTTCATCACGCTCGGTGGTTCCGCAATCGTTGATACCGATGAACACAACTAGCAAATTAAGCCCCCACGCCACGCTGACAACGAAAAAATCCACTCACTGTACACCGTTTCATCTGGATCCAACGCTAGTCTCTTCTCGCTATTATTTTTGCTTGAGAGCTTGCTGGAGAAGCTCATCAGTTGATCCGAAAGGTCGTCTTGGGCGGTTGCAGCGGGGGCCGCGAAATTGTACAGTCTAGGTGGATTGTGTCTCATGCGTCGTCGAAGGTGGTCTAACTGAGGGTTACCATTGATAAGTCAAACGAATGGATCGATAATATGCAACACACCCAGGTTATGCCTTCGTTCGACTCACCGCTTTTGGCCAATGATTACGGTCACGTAGTTGTACGCCACACTATGAATGTGCTCACAAAACAACGATATTGTTGAACGATCTCTCGACAAACCAATGAGAACCGCCAAGGGCGATCCGTAGGCGGCCTGCATACATTTGCGTTGATTTGTCGGCGCCTGGATAGAGCTACGCCTGTACGAACTAGAGATAGAGGGCAGTGGTACGCGCATGTCTACGCTCATAGAGTTGTGTGATTTCTGCCTCTTCTTCTTGGGGCGGATTTCTTCGGTCTGTCCACGGGTTGTGCATTGCCTTTCGCGTCCATCGGTACCCAATTGGGTCACAGGTTCGGGAGAATGTCTTCTTCGTTTGTGATGGGAAGACATTGACAGTGTTGCTCGAAGCGGTTGTGTGCTACATCGGCCGTTGAACGAGGCTGAGCGGACAGGATGTCGGCGAGGCAGTCGGGACGAGCTCGGTGCAGTTTGTTAAAGTACGGAGTTGAAGTACGGAGTCGGGATGGGAGTCGGGTTGGCAAGCGCCGAGACGTCCCCAGCGCTCAATGTTTAACGTTTAACCTCAACCTCGGCCTCCATCTCCCTCTCCATCTCGCCGCTCGCCACGCGGTGTACATGTAGACCTCCTCAGCATCCATCCAAACGGCTCTAGGTGACTTGCTCTACCCATTAAAGCAGCGACATCTTCTTTCCCCACCTCTATCCGTCTCCAAGACGCTCAGCTCCATCAAGGCGCGCATTCACGGCACCCGGAGTCGCTTACCGCTCCATACCCCCCATGGCCGAACGTGGCTACCGGAACCTCAATGCATCTGTCCTCAGGCAGATATCAAAAGTCCTGGAGCATGACTCGACAGCCGACATTGAACCCGTCTTGAAGAGAGTATACAACTCGTACTCGGCATTGCGGCGGGCGATCGGTGAACGTCAGGAGAAGCGACGGACAGGTCAGTACTTGTCGACTGGGACCTTCTCGTGGTCTGAATGCTTTCTATAGTGCCAGACGAAGACCAGGAAGAGCGCTGTATTCCAGCGAAGCGTCGGGCCTCCTATCCTGCAGCCTTGTCGGGCTTCGTGTCGCCTATCCAAGCCCAGCGAGCCCCACTGGAACTGCACCTCACGAATCAGAAGCCTCTATCGTGCCCTCTCCTCCATTCCGTCGTTTTCCCTCTGTCTCATGTGGTTCGTGACTTACTCAAACTCACCGCCGACCACGAGTCCAACCTCTCCGCCGCGGCTCTTAGATGCGTGCTCTCCGGCGCGCCCATATGGGAAGGCCGTTCACGGGCGGTGATACAAGTTGGCGAGAATGTGGTCGTAAAGGTGGCACAACACCTTGACTACGATGAACACGGTGTTCTGGAATTTTTGGAGCAACACGTTCCCAATATCGCTGCCCCTCGCCCCCTGGGACTGATCGCGATAGGGCCCACATCCTTCATGTTTATGACCAAGATACCTGGCGCCACTCTGGAGACCCGCTGGCCATCGTTACCCGCAGACGCGAAGGCACACATCAGGTGCCTGTTGGACCAGCAGCTCAGCGACTTGCGTACTCTCGACCTCCCTCCTGGTTCTCCACTCGGCTCGCCCGTGGGGCGTCGTCTCTGTAAGGACGTTCGCAGGGACGAGCGAGTCAGCATCACGCCCATCTATTCCGAGCCACAGTTCAATGATTTCCTTCTGGACTCGCCCACTTCTCGTGCCTCATCGAGTTACAAGGAATGGCTGCATTCGATGCTACGCGCCGACCATCGCGTCGTGTTCACGCATGCTGATATCCATCCGCGGAACATCATGGTAGTAGATGGACCGCGTGGTGTCGTAGAGCTTTCCGGGATCCTGGACTGGGAGGCCAGCGGTTTTTATCCCGAGTACTGGGAGCAGCTAAAGGCGCTGAACACGCGCTCCGTGAAAGATGACAGCGACTGGTGGAATCATTTACCTCCTTGTATCCTAGGATATGATCATGAGGTCGTGGTCGACCGGGTGATCGAAGCCACGGCGATCTATTGATAAGTCCAATTGCGTCTTGTACATACAATAACAGCTTTGGTGTGAATCAAGGACTTCTCGAGCTCACATCGACGATCTTGGAGTGCTAATCCCCCAAGCAGCCTGTAGTATCCTTTTCTGCCACTTATTGTACTGGGCCAATTGATAGCCATATCAGGCAGGGCCTCACGCTTCGCATCTCAAGCGTGGATCCGCAATTCCCTTATTATGAGCAATATGACTCGGCGTGTAGGAATGAAGATGCGGTAGAAGTATACGTATTATTGTGACGAGGATTGCTAGCTACAGCCCAAAGAAGCACAAGGCAGATTTCGCATTGCATATATAAACCACTCCCGTCTCAGCGATATCGTCAAGTGCAAATCCCCAGTGCTTCAGGGGCGCCATTGAACGACTTCAATCCCTATACCGCAGCTGAACACTCAGTCGTCACAGTAAGCCACATCAATCCTCTCTCTTTGATCTCAGGGTGCGCCACCTCAGGCTCTGATATTCTCCTGTCAGCAGATGGTTCACGCCGAACTCTCCGTCATCGTATACCTGCCACAAGCCAAGTCAATGGCCCACTGGGCCATTCATTTGCAAGTTGTGGAAGGAGATGATACCAAGCATATCATCCTATCAGGCGAACGGCGACGAAGGGGAGCTCGAGCTGGATGTTCGCGAGGCGGATCCGAAGGCGTCTAGTCGTTTCAGCAAGCAGATCGACGTCTCTGATTTGGACGATGAAGACACGATTGCTGTGGTTAAAGAGCTCTTAAAGCAACAACCCATGAAGAATGACATCCCTAGCTGGAACTGCCAGGACTGAGTGATGGAAGCCTTGGAGGCTTTAGACGACGCTGCACTTCTGGATAACTATCAGTACCATGAGGCGAAGGAGACCCTCGAGGAATTGTTCCACGAGTAGTGTGTCTTTGACAGCTCTTTGTACCATCATGACCGCTCCCGCCGGTCGCTTTTCTGATGTACTTGCGAATTGATATCAGACTGTTGTTCATATACTTACTCTGCGACGACATCAACGCTTTGCCGCTGCCGCCGGGCTTGTCACGAGCCCGACGTTCCTTGAGTGGGAGGCGCTCCGCGACTTTTAAATGTGGATGTGTCTCGCGAGGTCATCGCATGGGTAACGAACACCCAAAGTTGAAACTGCGAGCAAACGTGGCCTTTCCGGTCTGTACATGCCAGCTCTTCATGACACATATGACTTTGAGTCCTAGGGACGATGCCATGGGTTTCTGTCCCCGGCATAACGACCGGGAACCTCCCACCCGATATTGTTCATGATTCAAGGACAAGGACCATCACCGGGTGCGTTATAGGCACACAGAACGCCTGGGTAACGATGGACGAGCCTCAGCCTGACAAACAAGCTACTGCCTTAACACTGCCTCGCAGACGTTAGTGTAAATCTGAAGGCGGACGTATGGTTATCCGAGAAAAACGGGAAAGATACATGTATATCATCGCAGTATAGTGACTGTACCGAAACGCTATGAAATCGAGGACGGTGGTTCTAATAAGAAATGTCGTAAGCGTCTGTATCGTATGGGTGCCACTCTGCTTGGGTCCACTAATCGCGTCGAGATCGGGAGATCGGGAAAGGTTAATGTAGATCTACAAGTATCACGGCTGCTCGATGCTCGCCTACTCATGCGCTGACGTCGACAGATTACAGTTGTAAGGAGTCTGGGAGATTCATGAAGATGTTGAAGTAGAGGACGTTATTGTCGAGGATATAGCTAACGAGATGCAAAATGTCGAAGTGAGATGATGAGATAAAAACAAGATTATGAAGGGGAAGCTCATGCTGAGCCGGTGAAGAACTCCAGCACCTTGAAGAATCCCCAGATGCACCCGCCGGAGATTATGGGAAGTGTCAAGTTATCATCCAGTGCGCCAAGATCTGATCGGTGGTTAGAGCGTCGCCGGACTGACGGACAAAACAGAGACGTACCAAGTGCCTCAGCCGTACCGGAAATCAAGCCGCTTACGACACCAAGAGTTGTGAGACCTATCCACCTTCCAAGAGGTATGTCCACGTTCTGCAACCATTGCACGCTCTCCTGTAGGGCATGGGCGGCGGCCTCAGGCATCAAGTCGTTCACAGCGGCGAGTGTCTCGGGGGTAGGTAGGTGGAACACGAGCTGCGCGTCGCGAACTGGGTACCAGAAGCCCCAGAAGCCAACAGCAATTGCGGCGCCAGTGATGGAACCGGCAAGAAAACCAGCGAGGGACTTGCGAGGAGCGAGCGGAAGACGGAAGAAGGGAGCATAGGGAATGAGGGGGAGCGAGCGCGGAAGTGGTGGGGTGTACGTGCCCCAAAGACGACCGATGGTAGATGCAGCTGTGTCTGCCCACGAGAGTCTATATGAACATCTGTTGAGCACGTGCGCGGCGATAAGAGTAGGTAAGAGAGAACGACGCACATAAGGATAGAGACAGTGGCGATGTCAAGAGGATATACGGAGAGGACGAAGATAACGCCCAGAATGTACCAGATCACTCCGTTGACGGCTTTCTGTACGAGAAGCGGGGGGTCAACGTGATGATACAGATTAGTGAACAGGATAAGGAGGGCGCACTTTCTCGGACTCTCGCATGAGGAAACCCACGGCGCGCTCATACAACCACTCGAAACGGTCAGATTTGAACCTGAGGATGTCTGCAGGGACAATGACAGCTAAAGCAAGGCCGAGGGCATAGACGACGGTGCGAGGATTGCCATTTGAGGCATAGAGATACCAAGTGAGGAAGCCTGGGTAGGCGATTCGGTTGAGCGACGATGGACGTCATGCGACAGGAAGTGAAGGGGGAAGCATACCTATAGACGAGTGGAGGGTCTTGCGTGGGATCTCCCAGTCTACTGGCGGACGAGAGGGCTTGAGGTCTTTGGGCTTTGTGGCGAGATCGGGAGAGGTCGCGGAGGCGGTGCGAGCCTTCTTCCTCTGGCGGAGAGGAGCGCCGTTGGGGACGCCATTGCGTACGGAAGAAACGGCGGAGTGGGACGGAAGATTGCGAGAGTCGGGAGAGGGAGGGGATTCTGGGGAGTCTACGCTCATTTGCCGTGGAGGAAGTGACCTGCGAGGAGTGGCTGAGGGCGAACGGGCTTTAGTTCCTGATACAAACGGGATTTTCGTGGACGAGCGGAGGCCGATGCGTGCGGGGTCGTGTGGCAAGCCAAGCGTGAAAGCGTCGTTAGCAGGAAGAGTCATTGTGCCGCACGAGGACCATCCAAGGGGGGGGGCAGGACGGGGGCGACGGTGGAGGCAGGACGGGGGCGACGGTGGAGGCAGCGTCGGGCAGGGCGAGGGCGGCGAGGGCGAGGTCGAGGGCGAGGACGAAGACGAGGACGAGGCGGACGAGGGCACAGACCCACCGACGACCGCTGTCACAACTCACATCACTGTCACTGTCACGTCCCTAGGCCACAGCGTCCGTCACGTCCATCACACTTTCGTCACGGGGCGCACCGGCATCGGCACCGGCACTTTGGCCGGTTGCATGCACAAAGTTGCACACCCTCCCGCTTAAGCTGAACTCGCCAGTTGGAGAGGTGTTGTACAGGAGGTCCGCAAAGCGCGACACGACTACTCTAAACACCTCCGCAGACAAGCTGGTTCGGGGCCCATGAACTCGTAGAATGCGTCTCGTTCACCCATCCCACTTCCTCCCCAACATCGCCTGGGCCCATGTCGTCAACTCACGCACTTCATCTCGGGTGCGATTCTCCTAGTGCATCGCGCACTGCTTCTGAATGCCCAGTGCCACCCTAGCAGTCAGATATAATGCTGACCCCCGCCTCGGCCCCAGGACCGTATTGGACGTCTTAGTTGGCGCCATGCCGTCATTGCCACTGCTAACTATCAATGTATACATGCGATAGTTTCATGTGCAATATTTCTTGTCAGCGGCGGCGAGGATCGGGAGCGACGAGCAAATCCTTGCGGCTTACATAGCGAGCCAGCGAGGACATTTGATTCGAACCCATGCTTGAAAAGTCCTCTGTTTGCTTTGGCTGAGAATGTACATCAGAACGCGAAGTCAGAATCACAAGCGAAGACGAAACGACGTACCATTTCAGAGTGAGACTGCCTCGACCAAAGCTATCCTGATCCGGATCCACCATCCACTCGGTGGCTGTGGTAGCACCACTCAGACTAGGTTGATCTCGTCTCTTCGCAAATCTCTTTAGACCGCATGCGCAGACCTTGTGAGCGGTCCAAGGCTAACGCGATGTCTCTGTTGTGAGCGATGCAGCGGGATAACAGGAAGCGAGGCGGTGAGTGGGGCTATCGACCAGGTGCGGGCCCGCAGTGCCCGCCACACCAGCTCGACATGGACGATATGGTCCCTCGCCATGCATTTCCTCCAAATCCATGTGGTGACGCTGAAGGTGTCATTGACGTTGTGAGCGTAGAACCCTGACAGACAACTCGATGATCCAAACGCACCATGAAGCACATCAGGTGTGAAACGGATTCGCTCAGCCCGTCACGCTTCCTGGATGTGCAACTCGGATAGGCACAATGCACACAGCAATCATCATGATGGGTATAGACTCCAAACTGATTATGCCAAAATACACTATGATATCGAACACCAATACTCACACACACAAATACATGGTCCGGATACGTAGTATCCCATATCCAACGGACGTCAAGGCACCAGGTAGCAGATCGAGCTCCGCCGACGTTTTCGCGGTTCACTCTTCCTGCGCCATCTCTGACGAATCCTGCTCCATCGCCGCGTGCTCTTCTGGATCGAGCCAGCTCTCCTCCACTGTCGCCCGCACCCTGCGAACGTATTCCTTCATGTTCTCCCGGTACAACTGCGCCGCCTCCGCGTTAGCAGGGCTGTTTGGATTCGGGTCGTGGAGCAAAGATTGTATTGAGGTGAGGATTGCGGCCACATCGTACGTCGGCGACCACCGGTTCTGAAGGATATCCAGGCAAAGCTCGCCGTTGGCGTATACGTTCGGGTGGAACATCCGCGACAGGAATTTGACGGTCGGCGGTTTGTTGGGGTACGACTCGTCGAAGGTCAACAACAATTTGAACGTCCCGTCTTCGAACGGCGTATCCGCTATACGACCGGCGGCGTCAGTCAGCACTGCCTGAGCCACAGTAGGCAAGGGTGGAGATGAAGGGAAGGTTGAAACCTCTTACCTGGACCGAAGATGACTGCGTTCCAAAGCATGATGTTATCCGGGCATGGGCTGCCTGAGATCCCGCCGGGAGGGTCGGTGGAGAGGCGTTTAAAGTCCCGGATTAGACGGCGACGGCAGTTGGTAGACTGCAGGCATGCTCAGCTAGAACGACCCATCAGGAAAGCGGCGTACACACCATGATGCAGCTCAGATGGACTGGTGCGGATTATAGGATTGAGAATGCTATTATGGAGAGAGAGCTGGATGATAGACAAGGGGGGGCAGACGAGGGGGCGGTGGTGGTCGAGGGTTGAGAGCAGTACTATCAAGCGCCCAGAGGTTGTTGGCGTTTGCTGTCGGCTTGCCTCAGCTCCGACTCCTCGTTCGCTGCAGCTTCCAAGTCAAGAACATCGACAGTCGCCAAGCTGCGTATCCTCATTATAATGATCCATGCAATATTAGGTACAGTATCAAGCGGCAGATCGTAACTGCGTTCGCCGAAGCCCTCATGCGGTCTCTTCCTCACGTGCACGCTGAAGATTTGGGGACCAGACGTCCTAAGGGCCATGACAAGCGAATTCGCCATCTGGTACGGTGCGGTCTTCGTCTAACAAGGGTATGTTTACCAGATATGTCAGAGCGATGCATGGGCGTAGACACGTATCTAGATCGTATGGCGAACGGTGCGCGTAACATATTTGTGATCCATTAGAAGATTCCGCAGCCTATAAGATATCTGTGCCATCGCTACATCTAACCAGATCGACTACCTACGAGCTGAAGATATGGGTATATCAATAAGCAGTATCAGCGTCGACGTAGTGACTACCGAGTACTCATAGCTTGAGAGATATCGATAGAACTCCGCGAGCGGAGGACATAGACATCGCAGACCGGATCAGGTCTTCTGAGCATGCCCTCTCCACCGAGGCCATCTCCGTTAAGGGCGAGCTGGATTGTATCGCGAATACCAACTTCCAGAGGTGACTGAACGCGCCGCGATTACGGGAATGCTCGCACCCTTCGACCAGAAGCGTATCTATTTGCCGGAGAATACGCGCTGGAACAGTAGTAGATACGCCGGGTTGGGGGCGTTTCTGAAGCTGCAGGGAGAGGCCTAGCTCGAAGAGCAAGGAAGGGTTCGGAAGAGCAGAAAGAATCAGAGGAAGCTCCTCCCAGCGATTCACGATGGGGTGATATTCGAGCAGGTAAAGCTTTAGGGAACACAACGAGGAGTATGAGGCAAGACAGGTCCCTTCTGTTTGAATGTGCAGTGAGCGACATCCAGCCGACCATCCCAGCTCCAACGACAACTCACTCTGTAATCCTCTTATTGGGACACTCAACTGCTTCACAGACGGCCCGAATAAGGGGAGAAGCACTGAAGCATTCCCATTTAGATGCGGGATCGTAAGACGCTGGAGAACGTGCGCCGACGGGGAGTTCGCGAGCCACTGCGCCAGGTGGAGCGTACAAGCTGGTTAAATCCCCGAGAGTTGCAAGTCTTTCAGCGAAGGAGGCTGAAGAGGCAGCGAGAGAAGTCCTTGAATCGATATCGTCGTCGTTCCACCATGTGCCATTGAGACGAAGGCAGTCGAGGTAAGGAAACGAGCAGATCAAAAGTTGAATGTCTTGGAAATTCCGATGGACAGTGTGACTGAGCGTTAGACTTCTGAGTGAACGTAGGGGCGTAAATGTTTTGGGACCGATCGCAGTCAGATATGCGGTTGCGTCCGCGCCGAGGGACGTGACCACCAAGCTGCGAATGCGTGGGAGCGTCTCGGGGGTAAGATGTGGAGCGAGCAAGCCTTGAAGTAGCGGGATCTGATCGACCTGGAACATATCCAGTCCCCAAACGACCCGGAGTTCTGTTACGAGGTGACAGAGGGGAAGTTGAGACAGGCGACGGAAGTTCATGGTGTCGAACAGGTACTGTTGCGAGATCGCGTGGAGAATACGAGCGTAGTGATAGGCATCGAAGAGCCTGGATATCGTGTGAAACGTACGAGGCTATATGGTCAAGCACCTCGAAGGGCAGTCTTTGGCAGGGACCCATCGTCGGGGCTGAGTTCGGTGCCACGATCCTCGGGTTACGAAGTGGGTCAAGGATTGCAGTTCCCTAGTAAGACGGAGAAGCTCTCAGTGATCCCTGCTGGTATGATGAAATGCATGCACACGACGACATACAATGATTACTGAGGGCTTCAAGCCAACTTAGGACTGTCGATACGTCGACGGGGATGTTGTAGTGTGATAGAAGGGAGGGGGTTATGCCAAGGGACCTGACACGCCGTTGGAGGTCATGAGCCGTGCGGAGATACCAAGGCGTGCACAGACATGTACCACAGATTGCGGAAACATCGGATCAGCGACGATGGAAGGGCATTTCCTTTCGTCCCCCGGTCTTTTTCGGAGGCATACAGCCCTGCTGTCATCCCAGGAAGTTGGGCGACCTTGATCGCTGTTGACCGGTCCGGTGTCCGGCTATGTATGGTGCATGCTTGACGTCCTATCGTCCACCAGCCCTTTCGAGTCGGTCCAATTGTTGAAGGGTTGACTCGACATGAGCGGCTGACGTCTGTATTGAGCTCGCTAAGGAATGTGCAATACAGGCTTTGCCTGCTTCTCAAGCCTGATTGAAGTGAAGACAACAGGTATGGCGTTTCCTGTCGGGATCCCTTCCCGAACGAGAATCGCAGGCGTCATCTACAAAGCCGCATCGTCAGACTCCAACCTGCGCTGAACAGCTGCAGCGACGTTGGGACGTCAGTGACGTACCTCAGTAACCGATCCTCTCGTATCTTGTGAAGAGCTTCCCGGCGGCAGCAGGGATGTATAACCGCCCTTCAACAGAGTGCAACAGCATAGCCATTTCCGTCGCCAGATCCCAGCATACTTTTTTCAACAGAATCTTGAACTCGACCTTCTCCAGCAACTCAAATTTTTCATCGTCCAAGACGTCGTTCAGGTGGTCCAGGGCAGTCCAGTCAAGAATAGCTGTACTTCGAGTGGGATAGTCCAAGTGAACTTCGATTGCGAGTACCCGCAGATGCTGAGATAGGAGGTACCGCTCCAAGAATACGGGAAGGAGGTACCATGAGCCTTGGTGATCGTTGTACGAGTCCATGAAGATGGTCAGGTTTCCCAAGTTGGTGTATCCGCTCAATGGCTGGTCATGTCCGTAAGCTGCTGATCCTTCCAAAGTCTGAGTACAATGACACCTTGAATGATAGCACAGCACTCACTATCCAATGTCCGGAGAGGCAACGCAAGGTGGGAAACGGTAGGTCCAAAGTGCTTGAGGATCGCCTGCGGCGAGATGGAAGAGTACGGAACAAGAAGCGATTTCAGCGTGTTGGTACTGGGACCATTCCCTAGCCAGGCGGCCACCTCGAAAGTAGCAACAGTAGCAACACTGGCTAGTTCGGGTTCGAAGCAGAGGAAGGATAGGGCGGGCGGGGATGCCAACCTGTATTCGGCGTCCAAGCTCCGACTAGTGAGCGGTAGTAAGTTGGCATGACGTGTGATCGTATTGTTGTAGACGATGCGTCGAATTGAGAGGTCAGACAATTTGGGTAGGGCGCAGACGAAGGATTGTACATGAGCAAGGTTGAGGAAAGCTACGCCGCTGAGAGTAAGCGTAGTAATGTTAGCCGATGCAAGCTGCATAAGCATTTCGAAGCAGCCAGGCTCTATGGCGCTGAAGACGGCTGTGTGACTTTTGTGGAATGTGATCGCGTTGAGCCTGGAGAAGAGATCTTGGCGCAGCCGGGGAAGGAAGCCACTCTGACACAAGGCCCGAGCGTCGATTGGCAGAATTCGAAGCTGTAGGACCAACGGAAGGTAGCGAGCAATGCCGTCTTGGGTAAGAGCTCGACACCCAATTACAGCGAAGAGATACTCATGGGCGACAGGTAGGATGTAGTGGCAGGTAAGAGCAGTGGCTCGAAGTGTTCGCAGATCGCGCGCGAGATAAGCAAAAATCAGCCTCAGTAGTTCGGAAGGGAGGTTTTGGAGCATGTTTGCTAGGCAAGGCAGTTGGTGATTGGCTGAGTTGCCGCGATACCGCCTCGATGGGTATACATAGGTCAGCCACGCCGGATGTACACTAGAAGGAACGGTACTCACAGAGCAAAGCAACGATGATGCCTGAGAGGTCGGGGGCCGCGGTGGACTTATATCGGGCATGGATACCCAATATGTACCGAGCAGACCGCGCCTGATTCAGCTCATTCTTCCCACTGTCCTGAATGCGCCCATTCCGGCAAGTCAACTGCTGTGTGTTTTCTCCGATGATGTATTAGACCACTGTGCGATAGCTCAGAAGACTGGTCCCGCTTCCTGTCTCTTTCTTCGAGGGCAACTAAGCTGCTGCGATTCAAAATGTAATATTGGGCCGACACAATCGTATTGACTCTGGGGGCCCTTGAAATGGGTTGTTGATGATTGACGATTCCCTAGCATCTCGGATATTACTCGCGAGACGGACACATTGCAGAAGGCACCTCGGATGTTCAGCACCGTAGACCTGTGCATCGATCAATCGCGGTGGTCACCTGTAGAAATCTACGAGCTCACAGTTCGCCGCGAAGCACTTGCTGTCCAACATCGAAGCTGAGGAGGTACGAACCAAGAGGGAGGAATGGCCAGCTGGATGCAATGAGAACTGTAGAACAACAAGCGGAAACCGCGTGCGGAACAAAGCAGCGTGTTCAAGTACGCACGACTATGATACATGAAGAGAGCGTGTAGATGATGCGCGAGGTCCTTTCCAACGGTCCGTTAAGTAACCACATCTGTATGCTAAGCTCTGCTGCTAGTTAAGGACGGGGCGGTGAAATAGATGGATGACGTTGATGGTGAGACGCGGTTCGAAAGAGATCCACAAGGGGAAGTGCGCACACGAGAGTGAAGTCTACGTGACAGCTATCGCATGCGTCAGCGCTCAATCTGTGCCGATGTTGAAGAGAGAGGAAACTCACTGTACTTCGGGCCTCCGCCACCCTCGGGGACCGTCCATGTGATGTCCTGTGTTGGCACTTTCACATCACAGAACTTGCAGTGAATACAATTCTGCGAGTTGATGACAAGCTTCTTGCCTTGCCATCCAGCGGCTTCGGGTTCCGTGGCACGGTCAGCGTTTTCGTCTTCAACGTACTCGTAAACCTGTGCCGGACAGCCTCTACCGAGCAACCCGGCGTACTCGTCGACGTTCACGCGTACGTGCTCCTTCCGGACATTGGCGTCTTCTATCCACTTCTCAGTCTGCAGACCTTTCGACGGGTCACTGCCTTCGACTCCCACGTCTTCGCCTTGGGCGAGGTACTTCCGAACGCGTAAGTGAACTGGCTGATCCTCCGCATGGTTCGTGCCAGTGAGGGCGACGCTGGTCAAGAGATCGGTGGAAAGCGGAGGCTCGAAAGGCGGGTATTTGATAGGCTCACACTCTCTTGAAGTGAGGGTATGGGCGGCATCGCCCTTGCCGGACGTGTTGCGGAAAGTCCAAGGAGTGCGACCCTTGAGGAACAAGGTATCGATGCCGGAGTAGGCGATGCCGCCCCAGAGGCCAAGGGCAGTGTTGAAGGACGGGCGGACATTACGAACTTCGTGAAGATCATCGTAAACCCATGACTTGCGAAGTGCCTCATCGTACGCGCTCATATCTGTTGGCTTATCCTGGGAAGCGTCCTCTGTCGCGAGCGCGTCGTAAGCCGCCTCTGCAGCCAGCATTCCGCTCTTCATCGCGTTGTGTGTTCCCTTGATCTTGGCGACGTTCACGAAACCGGCGGAACAGCCAATGAGGGCGCCGCCGGGGAAGTCGAGCCTCGGAACGGCCTGGAGCCCGCCCTCATTGAGCACTCGGGCACCGTAGGCTATGCGTGTGGAGTCCCCTGAGAGAAGGTCGCGGAAGTAGGGATGATGCTTCAAGCGCTTCATGATTAAGCGAATGAGCACGGTCAAAGGGAGCGTCGTCATCAACAGAAGGAGATACCTGGAGCTCTCTATAGGGACTGAGGTACGGGTTCTGGTAGTCGAGTCCGACGACGATGCCGAGGGATACGAGACCGTCGGCCATGTGATAGACCCATGCGCCACCGTAGGTGCGGGTGTCGAGGGGCCAGCCGATGGTGTGGACGACCTTACCGGGTTCGTGTTTGACGGGATCGACGCGCCAGACCTCCTTGAGACCGAGGCCGTAGGTCTGTGGATCACGACCCTGACGTAGCTTGAAGCGTCTGATGGCCTCCTTGGAAAGAGAGCCGTGCGCGCCTTCTGCGAGGAGGGTGACGCGAGCGCGGAACTCCATGCCGGGCTCAAAGGAGTCCTTCATGCGGCCATGACGGTCGAGTCCGACCTCGTTGGTGCGGACGCCTCGGATGCTGCGGCCGTCGTTGTCATAGACGAGGCCTGCTGCAGCAAAGCCAGGATAGACCTCGACGCCGAGTTCCTCGGCAATGGCACCGAGCCATGCGGTGACCTGGGAAAGGGAGACGACGTAGGTGCCGAGTTTTGCCATTTGGGGAGGCTGGGGGATGCGGAAGGAGGAGTTCTGAGTGAGGAAACGCATGGTGACGGAGGTAGAGGGCTGTTTGAGGGGATGGTCATTGCGGGATTGCCAGTCAGGAAGGAGCTCGTTGAGAGCGCGGGGCTCGATGACGGCGCCGGATAGGATATGTGAACCTGAGGGAAGGTGAGAGTGCGGAGTAGGGAGGGAGGGGGAAAAGGTACCGACCGACTTCTGCGCCCTTCTCAAGGACTACGACGCGGATTTGGCGACCTTGCTGCTGTTCAAGCTGTTTGAGGCGGATGGCAGCACTGAGGCCTGCGGGACCTGCGCCGACGATACAAACGTCGACATCGTCTGTGGGGCGTTCGACGCTGTGAGGGTCGAATAGTTGGCGTTTTCTGCTCGGGGTCGAGTGGAGTGAGCGGAGGAGGGGACGGGGCCTAAGTCGACAGCGAGCGAGCATTGGGGGACAGAGCAGAGGAGGTCGAGTGAGAGTCCGAGTCCGACGCCGACGACGACGACGGCGACGGCGACGACGATTTCGGGTGCGCTCATTTGCTCCCGCCCGGAATCACGCTCCAATCACCCCCGCGTCCCCCACGTGCGGGCGAGTGTCCGGAGTCTTCCCCACGGGGACGAGGACCTGGAGGACCGCTTCGTCACTGGCGGCCCGCTCAACCGAGACGCCCATAGCGTACTGCCCGCCGTTGACCGCACACCGTCGTTTACTGCTCCGAGACTGCACAACGCTCACTGTTCGCTGCACAACGCTTACTGCTCGCTGCACAACGCTTACTCCTCGCTGCAAAACGCTTACTCCTCGCTGCAAAACGCTTACTGCTCGCTGCACAACGCCTTTGCAACTCTGCCTGTGCTCCCATGCCACCATGACCGGCTTCTCTGCCCTCCCACTTGCAGAGCAAGATGCCCAACACCACGACGCCCACCTCGCAGGTGTCTCCAAAATATTAGGCCCAAGATGGGCTCAGCTACCTGCAGTCACAGTAGGCCTGCTCGGTGTCCAAGTCTTTTGGTCCGTAGAGATGTCCTATGGTACGTCCTCGCCTACTCCTCGATCCCCATCTCACTCTTCCAACATATCTCTCCCCAAGGTACCCCATATCTCTTGTCCCTCGGCCTCACAAAGGCTGCCGTTGCCATTGTCTTCCTCGCCGGCCCAATATCCGGTCTCGTCGTCCAGCCCCTCATAGGTGCGTTCCCTCTCCACCGACTCACCCGGACAGTATCCCCATCCCCATCCCTAGGCGTCCTCGCCGACAACTCAATGTCTCGCTTTGGTCGCCGTAGACCCTACATGATCGTAGGCTGCATCGTCTGCACCTCCGCTATGCTCCTCCTTGGCTTCACTCGCCCCGTCGCCTCCGTATTTACCTCTTCACCTTCACCAGCAGTCAGTCTCTCCCAACCCTCTCTTATCCATTTTCTCATTAACCCTCGTCGTGCTCTCCACAGAATGATGTCCTAACCATCTGTCTCGCCATCGTCGCCCTTTTCACTATCGACTTTTCCATCAATGCTGGTACGTCCTCTCCCTGTCCTCGTATGTCACAACGTCCCGACGCGCACATCCCAGTGCAAGCTGTCGATCGCGCTTTAATCGTCGACACTCTCCCCTCCGCCGAGCAAGCTGATGCCAACGCCTGGGCCGCCCGCATGCTCGGCTTCGGTAGTGTCGCAGGCTACTTCATGTACGTCCCCTTCGTCAACTTCCACCTCCGCCGCTCTCAACGCTCCACGCTACAGAGGAAACGTCGACATGACCTCGGTCTTTCCCTTCTTTGGTAGTACCGAGCTTGAGGTTCTAGCCGTCGTCGGTTCCCTCCTACTGCTCGCCACCCATGCCCTCACCGCGTTCTGCACCAAGGAGAAGGTCGTCGTTTCCAGCAGGTGCGTCGTCATCCAGCTTCATTCCCTTCTTATCCCGACCGCTCGCCAGACGGTTAGGCAAGACCTTCGCCAACGAACTCCGAGACATTTGGGACCACGCGTTCTCCCTACCTCCTGCTATCCGTCAAATCGTATGTGTACTATGTGTCTCTTCGACCACTCCTGCTCACGTTCGTCACCAGTGTTTGATCCAGTTCTTGTAGGCGCCGGTGAGCATTGAACCATGACAGAGCCGGTGCTGATGCACGCCTAGTTCATGGATGGGCTGGTTTCCCGTGTTGTTTTACACTACTGCCTTCATCGGCGATCTTCACAAGGCCTCCTCAGCCCTCCCTCCCTCTGATCCCGACCTGGACGCCGAGGCCACGCGGCTCGGTACACGCGCTCTGTTCTACTCTTCTCTTCTCAGCTTCACTGGCAACGTCCTTCTCCCATTCATCGTCGCCGAGTCCGCGCGATCGCGCCGGCTACTTGAGCGCAAGCTCGCTCAGGCCAGACGAAGCGCCTGGCTGAGGCTCTATGATCGCTCAAAGATCGGTCTTCCTACGCTTTGGGCGGTGGGCCATCTCCTCTTCGCCGTGTGTATGTTCGCGACCTTGTAGGTTGTTATCATCCTTGTGTGCCCCAGCCAAATGCCGACATATCCACAGTTTCTACACGAGCGTTGAAGGAGCCACGTTTTTTACGACCCTCACCGGCTTCTCTTGGTCGATCACTCAATGGGCTCCGTTCTCTCTGGTACGCGCACTCAGCCGTGATACATGTCACGCATCGTAGCTCACATAACATCCAGTTGGCCGAGGCCATCCTGACGGAGGATGCTCATGATGGAGAGGCGCCAGTAATTGTTTTGAACGATACTCGCAGTCGCCGACGCTCGGGCTCACTTACATTGGCTGGAGACGACCAAGAACGACAGTTCTTAGTTGGGTCTGACGACGAAGACGACTCTCCGAATCAGCTGTACACCGCACCGACTACCGCGCAGTCGGTAGACCACCACGGAACGGGTTCGCACCGAATGCTCGCGTCAGAGGAAGACGTGCGTTCGTTTTCGTCCGACGCGTCTATGGACTCCCACACCTCTGACGAGGATCGTCCGAAGCCACATCGACGAAGTCCGAGCAGAGAAGACGACGACACCGGGGCATCGCACGTGTTCCTCCAGAATGCCATGGCGCGTACGAGCCACGTCGACGTGCATTCGGTCTCACTGTCCGATCCGGAGACCCTCCACGCTGACCTAGAAGCCCCGAGGGAGAAGGCCGGTTCGGGACTGGCAGCGAAGGCCGGGATCATCATTGGCATCCACAACATTTTCATCGTCATCCCGCAGTTTATCATGACTGGGCTCGCGTCCATTATCTTCGCTCTGCTCGATCCGACCAAACGTGGATCCGGCGTGGTGGATCCTCCGTTGTCGACGAATGGAACCGTCGTGGATCCGGCGGATGCTTTCGCGCGTCAAGAGGCCGTTGTCTCTGGCAGCGGTCCTAATTCCTATGCTATCATCTATCGGTATGCATCCATGCTCTTGCGTAGGGGAGGATGCATATATAGACATTAACGCCTTCTTCCCAGCATCGGCGGACTCTCAGCGGTGGTAGCCTTTGTACTGACGTTGCGGCTCGCGCGAGAGTTGCGACATCACTAGTATCGTGTATACCCCGCCTATCCTAGTAATGTTAATGGGACTTGTAGTAGTATAAGACAGTGTCATGTACCCAACCCCTGGGCTCGTCACTATCACGGTTCACATCAGTGAAACCCGGGACGTATGAAGTTTTGCAAACTCGCTAGTGTCACAAGTCTATCTGGCAATAAACTGTCCTTTCGAGCCGTGTCGCTCGCGTTCCCTCGGCACTCATTCCGCTGCCCCCAGTCCCGCCCGAGTCCCTCCCTCGACTACGACGGTTGCCTCCATCGCGTGTCCCATTGCATGAGGCAGCGGGCTGTCTATATTGGTGCCATATAAGCCTCCCCCCTAATCCTTCCTGAGCTGCTCCCCCGTGCAAACATGGGCCTTGTTCTGTCAATGACCCTGAGCAGATAGAGGCCGATCAAGCGCCACATTCCTTATTAGGGATTGTCCTAAAATGGAAATACCCTTTTCGGACTTGGTCTGGATCAAGTCTCAGATTGTTCTAGACACTTTCCTTTTTGGGACCATCCCAATTAGGTATATGTCCCAATAGGGAAATATAGGGTTACAAAAGAACCCATAGGGTTAGGGTTTTGAACAGCCCTAACCCTAAGGCAAAATCAAACCACACTCCAGAGTTTATGCTATAAGAGTGGGCTATATCATCTTCAACAGAAAAAGCAAAGCACATTGACCATGCCTAAACAGTGTTCAGGTTAGGTTGTTCAAAAAGCTCTGGAGGCAGAGTTTGAACATCTGGGGTTCAAAACCATTTTTGACATCAGGCCGAACAGCAGACAGTTTCACCTTTTGGACATTTCAAAATTCAACACTATCCTGTATGTGCAAAAGTTAGACTCCACTTTTGCACTAGGTAGGCAACTGACTGACTGAGGTAAGTCATGCATAGAATAGATTAGACCATTTGACTAAGCACTATATTGAGATTGTCTCACCATCTTTGTGTACTATTGATAGAGGTTGTCCAAACCCTCATTGAGATTGCTCATGATGGCTACAAATTGTAACTACTCCTGGCATCTGGCCTCTGCCCACCCTTGCAGCGTAACAAAATTGTCAGACATGACAGTGACAGAGGTTTTAGGAGGTTGCCCAGGGAGCTCCCAATTTTTACCAATAGTGTCTTTGTTGGCAGAGAACCATCGGGCGATGGTTGGGAGCTGATCGTGATGTGCATAAAAGTTATCTAATAGAAAGAGTAGGCAACTATCATCTGAGGTAATCGGACTGGACGTAGGTCAGATAGTCTCTTCAGTTGTTTAAGTATCACCCACTTTGCGCAGCCCATCCTCAGTGCATTCTCCAGTCACTGACGAATGCGTTGGCTGACACAGCTGCCAAGCTCAAGCATTGCCAGAAAGAAAACGAGTCCCTCCGCCAGGAGCTCACCCGCGGAGCTAGGATTAGAGAGGGAGATCGAAACCGAGCGAAGCGAAGTGAGATCGACCGGTTATGGGATATCGTCTGGTGGGCCGACCCTAGGGCAAAATAAACCCTAGGATGCAGGGGTTAAACCCTAGGGAACCCCTAACCCCAGGGGGGCTCCTAACCCCAGTGGATACCTAATCAGGAAGGTGGTCTAGGGTAACACACGTGACCGATTAGCGCCCATGATCCCAGGGCACACAGTAGAGGACACTGCGCGCACATACAAGAGGAGAGGATACACACTAGCATATACTTGTGGTACTGGGAGAGAGACACACGGTAAATATGACTCGGGCACAGACATGTTTGAGAGCACTACATGGTTGTGATTGTCTGTCCCAGACGGACACCACGCAGAC